AGTTTTAAAATCAAGCCATAAATAAGATCGTCCCAGAATCAACTCACCACATCTAATGCCTGCAGTTCTCCCATTTTACACTGGCATTGAGTTCTCATTTCTTTGCTACTAAAGGTTTATCACTTAGTCATCTTAAGCAGTCACTCAATTTAAATCATTAGATTAGCAAATTAGCCTTCAGGCAAAGTAAAGACCAAATGTGTCAGCCTTTAAACTGTTTTATTAGTTGCTATCTCACTTAAAATCTCCTGCTGCCTTCTTAGCACAGACACCAATAAAAGGGTAGTTCCCATAAAAATGAACTATGAGGCAACTATTCCCCTGGCTCTTCCATGAATTGGGAATTCTTAAAGCACACCCCTCCCCAAACCAATGAATAATAATTTCATTAGATTAAAGAGTTCTCCAGTGCTTTGAGAAGGTAAATCTTAGTTTGACATGACAAATATTGAGTATATGTCCTCAAGAACTTTAGCTGTTCACATAAATTATAAAATGTATTTCCCAGAAAGCAAAGTGAAGATTAATTAAGCCAGAAACTCAGATTGTTTAAGATAAAGCCAAGAGTCCAGGGCCTCTCAGAGGGGTGGCACAGAAAAAGTCATGCAGAAGTTAAAGATCTTTCTTCTATACTCATTCTTGGCTCAGCAAGGCACCTAACAAAACATGATCCTATTAACTTCCTGGCTGATTTCTTGGGCCTTCCATCTGACTCCATTAATACACTAAGAGCTACAGGCTTTTAGTAAGCACATGCTTTTTAATGGACACACCACAGATTACAAGGTGAGGATATGTTCTCCTTCCCACTGCATTATGTGTACTTATTGATGTTCAAATTATAGCAAGTTTCATGTTAAATGTTGAGATGCTAGTTACCTTTGAGGAATTAGCTTGTGTACATGTACATATACACATATGATCAGCCCACTGACAAGAAAAAGGATAAAACTTTAATATAAAAGCCATATTTTACCAGCTACTAACAAAGAGGGCTCTTTCCCAAAAAGATCTTACTTCATTAAGAACTTATTTCAAAAGTGGCACACTAATTTCCACTTTCAGGAAGATGAAGTAGGCTTAGTTTTCCCTACTCCTCCTATTTTCTTTTTACCTCATGTCCCAGGTTTGGAAGTGAAGAAGTCCCCAACACTTATACACAAACCAAAGTCTCCCCAAAGCCTGTTCTCTTTAGCCAAAGGACTAAGAAAGGGGCAACCTACCGAAACAGAAAACATTAGACTGTAACCGCTTTCTTCACTCCAAACATCACAGAAAAAATGGCCCCACCCATACAGCAAAAGCTGAGGGTAGGATCTAGACTTGTACCCTTGCCAGGTTCTAACAAGGCACCCCAACCTCCTTATGGGGTGCTGTTAATGGAGACCAAACAGAGAAATGGAATTTTATACCTTCCCATCACCTCAGGGCCATAATAAACCCTTCTCCAGTCCCTGTTGTTAGTAAAGACCACAAGGGGAATCTGGACAGTCATGCATATACAACAGTGATGAGCTCTCACCACCACCTCTGCTGGAGCAGTATGAAACGAGGTCAGGTGGCCAGTGAGGACCTTTACTATTGCAGGTTGGTAACAAGGCCACCCTCACCAAAGTGGTAGTGGAAACCAAGTGGGGAGCTAGAATTCCCAGACTTGCTCAGCAGGTATGAAGGACCCCTTCAATAGAGGCCAACTAGGACACATAGGTTTTCATGCCCCAAAGCAGCTTCCTTATTGCCACCCTCCACTCCCAAACATTGGCACTGCATGAATAGAAATCAGCTAAAAGGTTTTAACAAGCCCCTAGGTCAAAATGAAATTCTTAAAAAAAGTGCAAGTGACAGGAAGTCAAGGGAAAGAAATGAAAAACAGAACAAAAAATTTAAAAGTCAGACTTAAAAATCTGTATCAGTACCAGATAGTTATATCAGGGCAAAGTCAATTACCAGAGAAAGAGAGGGACATTATATAATGATTAAAAAAAAAGGTCACTCTGCCAAGACAACTTACCAGGGCTAAATGTATTTATACAAAACAGAACTCCACCATATGTAAAACACTGATAGAACTAAAAAAAGAAATAGACAAATAACAATTGTAATTGGATATTTCAACACCCCCCTCTCAATGATTTATAATACAAACAGAAAATCAGCCAGGATATACAATAACTCAACGCTATGGATCAATAGTACTAATGAACATTTACAGAACACACCCCTAAATCACAGAGGCATACACATTCTTTTCAAGTGCCCAATAAATATGTATTGGAGTATACCATACCCTGAGACATAGAATAAACCTCAAAAATTTAAAAGAATTGAAAAGATAAAACAATTTCCCCAACTGAATAGAATCTAATTGGAAATCAATAGCAGAAAAATACAGCTATTTAGCAAGTAAATCTCCAAACACAGCTAGGAAATAGATCACACGGTGCTAAACAATCCATGCATTGAATCAGTCCTCTCAAGGAAACAGAGTGATAATGAAAAGTTGATAATTGAACAGTGATAATTGAACAGAGTGATAATGAAAAGTTGACAAATCCAGTTCATGTAACAGAGCTGAAGCAATGCTAAATACAAAATTTATAGCATGTAGTACATACATTTGGAAAAAAGAAAAGTTTCAAACTGATAGTCTGATTTCTGACCTCAAGAATCTGGAAAAAGAAAAAAACTCAAAGCAAACTGCAGCACAAAAATAAACAGCAGAGATCAGCAAAACTGAGAAGTAGGAAAGAAAAGCTGTTTTCTTTGGAAAGATTAATAAAATTCACAAACTTCTAGTAACAAGGACAATGAAAAAGAAAAACACAAGTTACCAACATCAGGAATGAACAGAGTACTATCCCTAGGGATTCTGCATACATCAAAAGGTTACTAATGAAATGTTATACACAACTTACATGCATAAATTTAATGCATATAGTTCCAAGAACCAATTCCTCAAAAAAAAAAACTATCACAATTTACCCAATATAAGATAGATTATGATCCTATAATTAAGAAAATTGAATTCATAATTTTAAAAGAAGAAATCTCCAAACCCAGAAGTCTTCACTATGTAATATTACCAGACATTAAAAACAAAATTAAGGGGCCTCCCTGGTGGTGCAAGGGGTTAAGCACTGCACTATGAAGCAATCCACAGTCTCTGCAGCACCCACCCACTGCCGGCCAGGGAACAACCCACATGGTGCAGCTGGCTGCTCCCCTCAGCAGTATACTTAGGTCAATCTGCCTATTCTGTTCCCAGCTCTGTCTCTGGTGAATTCTCTCAGCCCCCGCATCTCTGGCCTGTACCCCAGCTCTTGTATGCATAAATAAATAAAAAAAATTAACATCAATTGTACAAATCTTTTCCAGAAAATGGAAGCGGATAGATGATTTCCAAATTTATGAAGTATTCACAGTATATGTATGTATATATTATATACAGATTTATATTACCTTTACACTAAAACCATAGCAAAACTACAGAACAATATCCTGCATGAGTATAGAAGCAAAAATTCTTAAAGTATGAGCAAATAAATTTCATTTTTCAGTCCAGCAAACTTTACATGTGAATAACATCTACAGGGAAAGTTAGCAATTGAAATCCAAAATAACATCATTATGAAACCAATAAGGTAAAATTATGAAGGACTGGACAGGAATGAGAATCAAGCTAACACAAAGAAGTCTTAAGATAATCACAGTTTCAAAAAAATGAGACCTATTAAAGAGTCAGATACAGTTCTGACAGACAAAATGAACCAGCTGATACCCTAAAATGAAAAAAGAAAAACAAAGTATTCAAAGATAATATTGTGGGGTCTCCCTGGTGGCGCAGCGGTTGAGCAGTGGGTTGTGGGGCTGCCCGCAGCCTCTGCAGCGCTGGTTCAATCCCCGGCTGCTCCCCGGCCACTGGAGGAGGGTCCCACATGGCGCGCAGACCTCTCCTGCCGCCCGCTGCTCCCCTCAGCAGTGTACTTCGGTCCTTCTGCCTGCTCTGCTCCCCACTCTGGTGAATTCTCTCACCCTCCCGCACTTCTGACTGTACCCAGTGCTTGTATAAATAAATCTTTAAAAAAAAAAAAAAGAATATTGTGGAAGATTGTTTAGTGAAATCAAATCTGTAGATCAGAAAGGAGAACACTGTTTCAGGAAAAACTAATGCAAAATGAGTGTGACATAGACAGCAAGTAAGTATAGTGAAAGAATTTTTCACACTGGCAGACTAAAGGAAGTGACTTAAAAAAAAAGGAAATGTACATGAGAGTGGCAGGAAGTTGGGGAAACCAAAGTGGCATCAGGCTTCTGTGCAGTAACATATAATGCCAAAAGCATTACACTAATGTGAGATCCATGAAGCTGTAAGGGAAAGACAGCATGACCTAAAATTTTAATACTCAGCCAAGTTATCCTTCAAGTATACAAAGACAGAGATGGTCTCAGGCACCAAAAAAAAAAAAAAAAAAAAAAAAAAAAAAACCACACACACACACACCCCCAACCCAGATCCATTTGTAAAGAAACTACTTAACAATGATACTCAACTAACCAAATACAAATCAAATAGATTTCACCCACAGACAAAATTATTGATGAGCATTAAATTAGTTTAAATGCAGAACTGGGCCTCCCTGGTGGCACAAGGGGTTAAGACGCAACCTATGAAGCTGTCTACAGCCACTGCAACACGAGTTCGATCCCCGGCCAACCAGGGAGCTACCCACATGATACAGCAGACCTCTCCTGACTCGCCCGCCTCTCCCCTCAGCAGTGTACTTCAGTCAATCTGCCTGTTCTGTTCCCTACTCTGTCTCTGGTGAATCCCTCATCCCCCACACCTCTGGCCTATACCCTTCTTGTATGCATAATAAATCTTTTAAAATAAAATAGATGCAGAACTAAGAAAACAACTACAGGAATAATTGTTTAAAGACAGAATTTAATGTTAAACCTCGACATTAAAAATGAGATTGTAAATAAGGCACAAGGAAAAAAAATAAGACTGCTAATATCTGCAGCCTGCATAGAAATAATCAATACTGCACAAAATTGTGTGTGGGTGGGGGGGTGGAGGGGAAGGTTTCAAGACAGTTTCAATCTCCTAGTCTTGCTTTATTTTGTTTTAACCTAGAGAAATATTTCAGGAAATAAAAGACATTATGATAGAAAATGACACATTTGCGTATTTCTCTTTAGGTTTCTTTGTTTTGCTAACAGCGACTAAAATTAAATCCAAATACTTAATAAGTAGCTTCTGCAGTATGGTTTTCTCTTATTAAATTGTCTGTATATCAACCTTACATCTGTGTGAGAGCAGAGGATGACTGAGAAGATGGTTACCACTTAACGGTAATAATGACCTTTTTTGGTGATAATGTCTTTTTAAATTTTTTATCCCTTTTTTTCTGCTTAGCTTGAATTCCTTATAATGAGCATGAGTCATTTATAAAATGTCATAATTATTAAGTCTACCAAGATTTACAAAGAAACCAAAATTTGAAGACACAAGGAAATTTACCTTTAAGAGTAATTTTTTAACAAGTTCTTACTGATCTTGTGAAATAGAACAGAGATGGCATCACTTCTCGGCCTTTTGGCTAAGATCAAGTGTAGAACAGAGATGGCAGGTCATAAAGTTAAAACCAAAATACTGTGAGGATCACTCTTCCCAAAAGGCAGGGCCTGTTTTTTTAATGGCAAAGAAACACGAACTTCTAAAAACTTTCTTGCAACAAATCGAACTAGAAAGGGATTAAAAGCACAGTATGTTTATTTAAACTCTTACTTTTCATAAATCATTAAGTCTTATCACAGCTCAGTATCTTCACGCTATTACTGTATTGGGTACATTCATTAATGGTACATAAAATTTCATATAAAATTAAAAAAGAATGAGAAGTTCAGCTAAAATCATCATGTTCTGTGTGGGAAGATCATAAACCCTGATCCCTATGTGGTTATTTTTTTCTGCTTTGTCATGGACCTCGAAATATTGGACTCATTCTTTTTAGAGAAAACAGCTCCTTTGAGCTCTACTCCACTATGAGTCCAGCCACTGCATTATTGGTTTGTGTTGACCCAATGGTACCTGTCCACCCTGTGGAATGCAGGCCTAGGGCCCCTGGGGTTCTTATGCAACACATGATAAGCATTTCCTAGAAGGCCCACATGGCCATCCACCATATTCTTTTTGCGGGGGATCTGGAACCAAGATTGAAAGGGCTGTCTCAAATTTTCAACCTGGGGAGGAAAAAGGGAGTATCAATATCCTGTTTGAACTAAAGCTAACTTTGATGACCAAATTCAAAACAACAACTTAGAAGTTAAGCCTAAGCTTCAAAAGCATAGGAAGTACAAATGGATACAAATTAAAATACATCATCATCTTTGGGAAATTGGTTAGCATTTAGGGGTCATAAAATAAGTCACATTTTTAAACAAAATTCTTTAATCCAATTAAAATATTTGAAAACACATTTATCCAAATTTGTGTATATTTTGGATTCTCCCCTGCCTCATCCTATCTCACTGGCCAAACCCATCACTGTCTTGTCTAATCATAGCATCTCTTAGGCTAAAGACTAGAAATGTCCACTTTAGGCATCCCAGATGACTGAGAACAAATGTTTTCCAGGTCACATTTTGAAAGAGTATTACTCTAGAATATAACTTACAAAGATTTGGTCCCCAGATGGAAGGTTTTTTGTAAAGCATAACAATAGGAGGGCAAATATTTCACTATTTAAAGTTTTATAGAGAGAGCGAGCTACATATAAGGGCATATACATATAAGCACATGCACAAGTGCACTCACAAACAACACAATGTCTAGAAAACTAAATAAGCTAAGGTAAAAATATCTGCTAATATGATAAATATTCCTGCCCCTTGAAGAACCTATAGTAATATAATAGTAGGACCGCAATTGATTAAAATATATGAAAATTTGTAAGAGTTTAATACCTAAACCTGGGCACAAGGACATTTATTTTTAATGTTTACCATATCTGTAGTAGTATTTTTTTTAAATAGAGGCATGTTTTTATTTTATTTATTTATTTGTTTGTTTGTTTTTTGTTTATACATGCACTGGGTACAGTCAGAAACGCGGGAGGGTGAGAGAATTCACCAGAGCCAGAGCAGGGAGCAGAGCAGGCAGAAGGACCAAAGTACACTGCTGAGGGGAGCAGCGGGCGGCAGGAGAGGTCTGCGCGCCATGTGGGACCCTCCTCTGGTGGCTGGGGAGCAGCTGGGGATCGAACCGGCGCCGCAGAGGCCGCGGGCAGCCTCGCAACCCAGCGCTCAACCACTGCGCCACCGGGGAGGCCCTGTAGTAGTATTGTTATCAAAATATTTTTAAATGAAAATTCCCAACTTTGGGGAAAACAGTGGAAAACTTTTATATAACTGCTTAGATGACATATAAACACAATTTCTAGAAGGTACTTAGACCTTCTATCAAGATGCAGTAGATGTCCACACCCAAAGACCCCATCTAACAATCATATCTCCAGAAATAGCAGCACTCCTGCCAGTATATGTGGGCGACTCTTTTTCTTCTACTTTTCCTAATAAATCTGTCCTTTTAAAATATTTAAAAAAAAACCTCCAGAAATAATTTCAAGTTCATGCATCTCTGTAGACGTTTAAGTTTTATATCACAATAGGGAAACAATCTCAATACATGCCAATAGATTAATTGGGAAAATAAATGAAAATATTAAATATGTAAACTGCCTTCACATAAGTGACTGATTTAAGAAAACATACATACAAGTATATACCTACCAAGTGTCAGAGATACTCTCTAGATCCGTGTTTCTCAAACTATGGGTGGCCACCAGTAGTGGGTGAATTAGTGAATAGTGAAATCAGTTTAGTTGGTTGAAATTAACTTACTAGAAACTGTTGGTACCACTGTGCCTAGTAAGGGTAAGTACTGTTTCTTGAAACCCATCTCTGACATACAGGTAGACATAGTGGACAGTGGGCTCCACCACCATGAGAGATGAAATTGCAACAACAGCTTTCTTTGTTACAAGACTGGTGGGAAAACATGATAAACTGAGTAAACAACAAATAAAAGACTTTGCAGAAAAGCTGACTACAATCTTCTTTGAAACATACAGAAGTCACTGTATAGTGGGATTTTGCAAACTTTTGACCATTTCTTAATATTCTAAATTCTCAACAAGTGGTAAGTTATTTTCTATTGACAAAAAAGCCCATGGATTTTATTATCTAACTCTGATAGAACTTTGGTGAAAGGAACCATATGGAGAAATAGATCTACAAAAAATGCTATGGTTCCTGAGCACTCAGTCAAGGAGAGGAATACATGCTAAAACAAACAAACAAAAAAAATCACAATATTAATATTCTAGCAAAACTTTTACCTTTGTGGTTTTGTTATTCTGTCCTTGTCTTCCACTTGTTTCTTTGATTTTACAGTGAGCATTTTTTTTTAATTAGAATGGAGGGGGAAGGTATGGAGAAAACCGGGCAATACCTTACCTGATACACACTCTTTGGATTGCTGACTTTAGGAATTATCTGAGGTTCTTTGTTACAACTTTCTTCATCAGAGGAAGTGCTGGAGGAGTAGTCTAGTGTGGCTCTGCTAACAGCATAACTTATTTGTTGGCATAGTTTCCATTCCTCCCATCTCCCTTTAAAAGAAGCAATTGTGAATGGGTGGTTTTTCTCACCATACCTAAAGAGAAAAGAGAAATCAAGTATTCATTAGGGATCCAACTTCTCACAAACTTTATCTCTAATCTTTTCTGGAAACAACTCACTAACTTTAAAGTTACTTTAAGGAACTGAAATGGCTTGACTGCAAAGAAAATTGAGAGACTTTATGACCTTCAGTGCTATGCTGCCATAATCAGAAGGACATTCTGACAGTTACCTTGGCTAATTGCTCTCAAAAAAAAAAGGTAAGGCTATTTCTCTTGATTCAATTAAACTGAATTGCTACTTGGTCATAGCTTCTCTTCCTCCTTGATACTGCCTATAGTACTTAGACATTACAAGCTATGTTTGGCAACTAGATCCAGTGATCAAAATCAAATTTCAAATACTATGTAAAATCTTTGTTCAGCCCACTCATCTACTCCTAATGGACGTCTATGTTGTTAATAAAGTTTGCATCTAAAATCTTAACCAACCAGTGCCCTCACTACTAACCCAAGGCTTTGGAGCATAATCTTTCACAAAGAGGTCACAGTGCACACAAACTCATCATTCCAATGAAATAAATTACTCACCGACAGCACACTTCAAAGGGATCTACCCAAATAGTCATCTCCTTAGGAAGTCCCAGGTGGGAAAAATCCACATTACTTTCAGCACAAGCCCTTTCTAGAATGGGATCTTTACTCTGGTTATTGTTTATCCTGATACACCTTAAAAAAGCAAGGAAAAGGGAACAAATACAGGGTGACAGGTGCTTTTTAGGAAAATCCTGATGTAGGCTCATGTCTCCAATACATGGACTCCCATATTTCTGACCCCCTTAACTGCCCCATTCTTTCCCCACCCTCCAGTGTTACTGCAGTATCTTTCACAGTGAAAGCAAGTTAAAAGTGGTTTAATCCACTGTAGAGGCAGGAATGGACATAGTGCAAGTTTTCTGATCCAGCAGACCGGGTTAAGGAGGAGTCCTGGAGCCCTCAGTGGGTTTTGCAGGCTTTTTTACTGGGATTACCAGGTACACGGCAGGCAGGGGTGCTGGGGAGCCGGTAGGCTGGCAGGCCTCCCAGCACCCAGCAAGTCTTCACTCTGGGCTCTCCAGCCTTCTCTCGGCTTCTACTGGCGTCCCCGAGACGCTGCCCTTAAAAAGCACAGTCTTAGCCCAGGTGAATTCCATCTACCTAGGCCCACACCCTACTCCAGGTGCCCGCCATCAGGCATGCATTCAGGACCTCAAGGATCTATCATCTATCCTAATGGCAGGAGGGCAGAAAAGCCTGACATTTTTTTACCTTACTCTACATCCACTTCACACAAAGCGGGTTGCTCTATGGTTTTCAACTAACATGCTTACCTACCGTATCTTTTTCTTTCAAGCCCACATTCAAACAAACAAATTTGAGCCCATAGACTGCCAACAATATCATTACAGATAGCTATCGCCTGCTTATTACTGCGCTTTGCCACAGCACAGACTAGTTCTCACCTGAAGGCTTGACCTTTGGAAGGGCAATCTGAGTGCCAGTGACTTCTATATGTTTCAAACAAGATTGTAGTCAGCTTTTCTGCAAAATCTTCTATTTGTTGTTTACTCAATTTATCATGTTTTTTCACCAATCTTGTAACAAAGAAAACTGTTGTTGCAATTTCATCTCTCATGATTCTAAACAAACAAACAAAAAACTATTAGGTGTGCAACCATTAAAAGGGAGAATGAAATTAAACTGAAACAAAAATTAAGCTGAAACAAGTTATGAATCTGCAATTTGCCATTTGAAAATTTGTATATACCTTAAAGTTATAACAGAAGTTATTTGCTAGTCCTTAGCAAACTGAATTGCATCAATATTATCAATTAACAGCAAAGAACACCAATTCTTCCAAGAAAAAAACTTTTTAGAACTTCAGGATACTTACGAAACAAAGAAAATATCACTATACAATTTTATTATAATGCTCTGAAATATAGAATATTAAATTACACCAAACTACACTTTTAAAAACATAGTAACTGAGAGCAGGAACATTTTTGGATACAGCAGTTCTAAAATGTGGCTGTCAGGTTACACCCTTGAAGCAAAGGTTAAGATTTATCAAACATGTATTATACTTGCCAGCAAAAGTTCTTAGCGCCAATAAAAAGAGGTAGACTTAGAAGACGCTCTCACCCACACCTGCTCTGTTAGCATGAGGCTGACCTTTATATAACAGTCTGGGCCCCAAAGCCTGATAGGTGTTTAACCTTACACAGATGATGTCCTTTAACATAATCAGACAGCTTTTTCCAGGGCCCCATCAGATTGCGTGCTGCTATAGAGAGTGGGTTCTTATTTAATGTGTTTAAAGAGGGGCCTCCCTGGCGCAGGGGATTGGGACGCAGCCCATGAAGCTGTCCTCAGCCACTGCAGCACGAGTTCGATCCCCAGCCAGGGAGCAACCCACATGGCACAGCAGACCTCTCCTGTCTTGCCTCTCAGCCAGTGTATTTCAGTAGATCTGCCTGCTCTGCTCCCCACTCTGTCTCTGGTGAATCCTCTCATCCCCCACACCTCTGGCTGTACCCCAGCTCTTGTAAGAATAAAGAAATCTTTAAAAAAAATAAAGTGTTTAAAGAGTCTCAAACTGGATTTGTATCTTCTATTTTGCTATTAGTCTTGACTTTTATGACACAGATCAAGAATCAAGTTTTTTCCATATCCTAATATCCTACATTCCAGTAATTGTCTTGAATTTTAACTGTCAACACAGTAAAGAATTTTGTCTCAGGCCTTTTATACAATTTAAAACAATTTTCTTTGACCACACAGACATTTTACTAAAATGTTTATTTGTAAAAAAAAGTGGATACTATCTCAGAGTTTATCTAGTATCACTCCAAAATGTGGGTCAATGACCACGCTTCCTCTTAAATATGCAAATTCCTGGGCCTTATCTCACATCTACTGAATCAATACTTCTAAGATGAGAACTGGGCATCAGTATTTAAAAAATTCCCCCAAGGGAATTCTTACACTCATCACACCTAGTCTTTAACATTCCCTGCATGTTATTCAAGCTTTTCATCAGTGAAAAAGAATTTCTCTTACAAATTCATTCTTTTATATTTAATTTTCAAATGCTCCAAATACCAGGTAACCCTTCCTCCCTCTGAGTAGCCAACTCCACCTCTGATACTCTGTGCCTATGACCTGGTTTTCCCTCTGGGACTACATGGTTTGTATCTAATTCTGCACCACATGGAACCACTTGAAATACTTGCTGTTTAGTCTCCCTTGAGTCTTCGCTTTTGGGGCTAACTATTCTAGGCTTTTAACAGTGCTTCCTGGAGACATGTTACTTAGACACTTCACCATGCTCAGCACTAGCCTCTGGATGAGTTTCAGGTGAGTCACTAATCCTCTTTTAAAGATGTAATGGCCTCCCTGGTGGCGCAGGCTGTTGAGCACAGCGCTGTGAAGCTATCCGCAGCCTCTGCAGCGCTGGTTCGATACCAGCCAGCCGTGGAGCTATCCACATGGCGCGGCAGACCACTCCTGTCTCGCCCTGCTGCTCCCCTCAGCAGTGTATTACAGTCAGTCTGCCTGTTCTGTTCCCCGCTCTGTCTCTGGTGAGTCCTCTCACCCTCCCGCACATCTGGCCTGTACCCCAGTTCTTGTATGCATGAATAAATAATCTCAAAAAAAAAAAGAAAACTAGGACATTAAAAAAAATTAAAATAAAAATAAAGGTGTAGAGCCCCAAGAACACACAGTGCTGCAAGTGTGTTCTGCCAATATGGAATCAAGGGACTGTCACCTCCTTGCTCTGAATGCTGTTTCTAGCATGCAGCCACAGTGGCATTCACATTGGTGGCCTGAGGCATCACACCAGTACATCACAATGAATATACAAGTTGTCTTTTCCACAAATGCTATTTTATCCATCTTTCCCTTCCTGCTCAGCATAATGTTTAAGAACACAGGCTTTGGAGTCACACAGACCTGAGCGTGAATTCCAATTTGACAATTCGTTACCTGTATATTCATTATCTATGTGAAACTGGGTAAATTGCTTAGTCCCTTTGTTTCCAATCTGTGAAGTGGGAGGAACAACTGTGACCTCCCAGGGTTGTTATCAAGATTACAATCAACATTGTATTAAAGCCCCCTGGTGTGGAGCCTGCCTGGTGGTTGTTATAGAAAGGCAGTAAGCAGAGTAGTTAAGAAATCAGCTCTCAAATCAACAGTCAGAGGATTGAATCCCAGTCCACTGGCTGACTAGAAAATCTTCAAACTCTCATCCATAAATAGATGGTCAGAAATCTTGTGTGTACCTACTGCCTTGGAATCAGACTGCCAGATTTGGATCCTTGTTTAACATATTTTGTGACTTTAGCAAGTGATTTAACTTGTCTGTGCCTAAGTGTCATCATTTATATAAAGAGAACAACAGTGCCCACTGTTGGGCATTATGAGAATTAAGTGTAAAGTGCCTAGAATAGTCCCCTGGTTCTCAGTAAAACGTCCATTAAAAAGTACAATTGGGCCTCCCCTGGTGGCGCAGTGGTTGAGCGCTGGGCTACAAAGCTGCCCGCAGCCTCTGCAGGGCCCATTCGATCCCCAGATGCCGGCGAGGGTCCCACATGGTGCGCAGACCTCTCCTGCCGCCCGCTGCTCCCCTCAGCAGTGTATTGCAATCTGTCTATTCTACTCCCTGCTCTGGCTCTGGTGAATCCTCTCACCCTCCCACGCTTCTGACTGTACCCAGTGCTTGTATAAATAAATCTTTATAAAAAAATTAAAAGTACAATTATGATACCCTACTTTTCATGAGGTTCATGTCAAGATTAAATTATAAAATTGTGGACCTCCCTGGTGGCGCAGGCAGTTGAGTACAGCGCTGTGAAGATGTCCGCAGCCTCTACAGTGCCAGTTCGATCCCCGCCAGCCTCGGAGCAATGCACATGGCAAGGCAGACCTCTTCTGTCTTGCCCGCTGCTCCCCTCAGCAGTGTATTTCGTCAGTCTGCCTGTTCTGTTCCCCGCTCTGTCTCTGGTGAATCCTCTCACCCTCCCGCACATCTGGCCTGTACCCCCGGTTCTTGTATAAATAAAATAAATCTTTAAAAAAAAAAATTTATAATTTTTAAAAAATTATAAAATTGTATGAAACATTGAACAGAGTGCCTGGATAAAGTGCTCAAAAGTGATGGGCTTTCTCACAAATAAATATGTTTATATTCAACATTTTATTATACATCTTTTCCAACGCTTTGTAGATTGAGTGGCATAGAAGACAACTACATATTGCAGCTTTGTTTATTTCAATGTGTTAAAACTTAGAACATCACTCGAAGGGACTAAGAGTTTTGACCAAATTTTGTTACCCAACAAATTTGTTATCTTTCTTGCTACCTGTTCTCTGTAAATTTGGCAACATGTATCCTCCTATAAGTAATGAATAAACCACAGAACAGGATAAAGATCAAGCAGTGTGTTTTGACAAAATCCTAGGAGACCCTTCCTTTTAATACAGTCACTTTCACTTCAATTAATTATTTCTGTTCTCCTCCAGTGGAAAACTAGTTAATAATAGTCCACCAATTGCCTTCCTGCAATATGCATACAATATCCCTTCAATCTACCAACATCATAGAATCCACTCAATCAGAAAAAGATAACTAATTTAACCTGTATACCTTGTTCTTTCATGAGCCATGTTGTTCCCAGTAGTATCAACTCCTATAAGATTTAGAAACCATACGGTTGGTAAGATATTTGAGAATTCTGCCCCACTTGAGGTCAAGATCATTCATCTCTGATTTACACATTTACCTTCTCTCTTTGAAAATGCAGGGCAGTATATAACCATCTCTAATCTTAAAGCATCACTTTATGAAATATACATCTTAGCATATCATTAAAAATGTGTTTTAGTTTTCCACAAAGCCAAATATTATAATACATATGTATAATACCATATATAATATATATGTACATTTAGAATAGTGTATAAGTCTGCCATTTATAACTAAAATTTTATATCCTGACATCTGAGAGTAGAAATTACAGGCACTTTGTTTTCCAAAAATCAATAAACTAATACTGTACAATGTACTATTATGAATGCAAAGTTAGCATTCTTTCATGGGATTTGCAGTCTGCACCCCATAACTCAGCAACAGGATTTTTTTCCCCAAGAGATTTTAATGTGCAGTAAAAGTGGAAAATCATTTAGATTAGCTCCTAGCTACCAAAGAGATTCTCCTTTTTATACTTGTGATTGCCTTAAATTTAAGAAAAATTAAATTCACATCATTTATTATCAACTTTTCTGGCTTTTGATAGGGTAGCAAAAATTAAAAATTTGCAAAAATAAAAAAACACTTTTTTAAGACTCAAATACTAAGTTCTATTCATTTTCAATAATGAAATCAATACAACAAATACATTAATCCACTAATTTTCAAAGATAGTCTTTAGCACAAAACGAGACTCTCGAGGGTTTTGTATATGTTTTGTCATAAAACTGAGTGATAGGTAAAGAAACACACACACTAGAGACTCAACTGACAAAGACAAAAAAGAAAAGAGCAGCCAAGGAGCAGGGTTCCCAAATATTAAGTCAGAGGGGCCTCCCAAGTGGTCTAGGGGTTAAGTCTCAGTGTTACCACCAAACCATTAAG